GATCTGTTAGGCATATTCCTAATAAGGTCAATAAGGAAAATAAAAACCCCATGTACACTCAAACTTTAATAGCAGCGCTTTATTTATAGAATCAAAGAACTAGGGAAAAAGTAAATGCTCATTAATGGAGAATGGCTAATATAGCTATAATATGTAAATGCAATGGGACATTGCTGTGCTGTAAGAAATGATGAATAAAATAGAGAGAAATGAAGGATGACTTCTGACCTGACGGAAAGTGAAGTAAGCAGAGCCAGGTAACAGTATACACAATGAATATGACAATATAAATGGAAAGAACAAGAACAAAACGATTAGAGTTGAATACTGTGCAATTATGATGTCCAAGCTTGGCCATGAAGAAGACAGAATGCATCTCCCTTCTTTGTTGGGGTCGGAGGGCTATGGGCATGGAATACTGGATGCAATATCCCTATCACTTCAAGGTTGGTTGATTTTGGTAAATTTTTTCCCTTTTTTATTCTTTGTTATAAGAAATGACTCTCTTGAACAGGAAGGAGAGAAGGATATAAAAACGAAAGATAGCAATATAATTTCTTTTTAAATAAGGGGGGTTGACTCAGTTCAGAGATTTTTAATCTTTCTGGGGGTTATGTATGCCTTTGACAGTCTGATGAAACCTGTGGACTCCTCAGTATTAAGTTTTTAAATAATTGATGGAAATGCTAAATTTAAGTTAAAGGGTAGTGAAAATTTAATTCAGTTTAAATCAATAAACATTTAAGTGCCTAGTATGTGCCAGGCACTGTGCTAAACACTGAGGATACAAATAAGAATAACAAAGACCTGCCCTGCCCTCAAAGAAATTATACTCTAATGGAGAAGATAATACATACAAAAAGACACTGAAAAACAGGGGTGGGGCAAAAAGGGGGTACTCAGTGCAGGGACATGCTGTACTGTGCAGATGAAACTAAGCAGAGCTGCTGATGGAAAATGGAGACTTACCATTAAGATATCTTTTTTTTTTTTTCCTATCCAAGTTCAAAACCTTCTGATGTCTATTATGTGCTAATGGGTGTGAGTGGTGAAATTTGAGAGGAGTGTTACATGGGAGCAAAAAATTCCCTATTTTTGTCTAAGGATTAGCTCCTATCATGTGTGGAGATTATGGAATACAGTTAGGTTGAGAAGATAGGGAGAGGAAGTAGATCTGTTGCATTAAACTTTCCTTATCCCTTGCCAATCAATTAGATTATTAATAACCATTTATTAAGTGCCTACTTTGTGTCAGACATTATCATACAAAGATCAGAAGTGAGAAAGATGCTTCTTTCCTATAATGAAGCCCTATCCCAGTACCCTTTGCACGGGAGTCCTGACCCTATCTTCCTCTCCCTAACACAGTGGGTCCCCATCTCACGTGTGCCATCATTTTTCAGTTAATCAAACATGTATTAACTATCTATTGCTATATGGTAGGCACAGTGCAATTTTCTCACATTTCCTCAATTCCCTTTTACGTGGTATCCTCACTACACAGACACTCCACTCTTCCCCCTTGTACAAAAGTAACAAGAGACATCTTCCTTCACAGTGTGACCCCTCCCCCTCTTTTTTGTTCCTTAGTCTCTCTGAATTAGGGTGGGTCAGTAGACTGCTCTAATCCCCCATACCAACATTTATAGATTCTTTTGATAAATTAAAGACCTAAAGTGTTTGTTGCCGAATTAGTCTGAAAAATGCTGCTCTATTGCACAATTCTGCTGTCAATCTTGCAGTAGACTTTAAATTCACTGATTTGGGGATGTTCCCATGCTCCCAGCCTGCTGATTCAGGAGACTGAGTGAAACTGTCAACATCTGTTGCTTCTTTTAGGAACCTGCAAGTGTATATGGACCTTCAGAGCTAGAGGCATTGTGGAGAGGGCACTGGATTGACTGTTAGAGAACCCGGAGGTCCTATCTGCTTTGCTACTTTTTACCAGTGTGAGGGTGGGTACTCTCTGGGTCTTAATTGGGAGGGAGAGGAGGCAGTTTCAAGGTCTCCTCTCGGCCTACCTGTCTTCCAACTCTGGATCCTGTCATGCCACCAGTGGAGGGGAGGGGACACACATATAGGGGGGAGATTGTTGACTTTGGAGTAAAAGGATTCATATCTTGTACCCATAGGCAAATCCCTTAGCCTCTCTGGGCTTCTTCAGTTATAAAATAAGAGACTGAGGAGGTCCCCTTGAACTCTGAGAACTGTGAAGATAAAAGTCTACTTTCAAATCAAAAGACTTCAGTGTTTCTGTTGGATCTCTAGACCCTTGTTCTTTAGTCATTTGCCATCATGCCTGACTCTTTGCAACCCAAATTGGAGTTTTCTTGGCAAAGATGCGAGAGTGGAGCCATTTCATTCTCTAACTCATTTTATAGATAGGAAACTGAGGCAAACAGGGTTAAGTGATTTGTACAGGGTCATACAGCTAATAAGTGTCTCAGGCCACCTTTGAACTCAGGAAGAGGAGTCTTCCTAACTTTAGGCTAGACACTCCATCCACTGTGCCATCTAGCTGGCCCTCTAGATCCATTCTTCCACTGAATTCCTACTCTGATGCCTCACCTGGCATATAAACATCATGCTGGTATTATGGATACAATGACAAGCCAATTAATCTTTCAACCAACAAGCATTTATTAAGAGCACACTATTTTGAGATTGGCTGGCAATTCAAAGACAAAAATGAAATAGGAAATTATTTGAGTGTGAACCTGATAACAGATTATAGAGCAGTTATCCAAAGACCAATCTTGGTAACTTCACAAAGGCTCATCAGAGTGGTCAATCTTTCAGTCACAGCAACTCTGGCTGACCATCTACTAAATTTAAAGGGCTTGTGGTATGCATCTTTGGATGGAACACCTGTAATAATGAACTCACAGATTCTCAAAATAGTCTCTGAATTTCATAATTGGAAGGGACCTTTGTGGCCATGTGGTCCAACCCATACCTGGAAAAAGAGTCCTCACTACTGTGTACCTGACATCCATCTAATTGAAGTTACATAGTATTTTATATAGTTTATAGTATATAGTATGGTATAACTCTAGTTGCATAGTATATATAGCTATATATATATCTATATATGTATATATAACACATATAACTTTATATAGTTATGTAGTACTTTAAAGTTTGCAAAGCACTTTATTTAGGTTATCTCATTTGATCTTTACAACCCACCGAAGCAGGTGCTATTATTATCCCTATTTTACTGATGAGGAAACTGAGGCTGAGAAGTCAAGTGACTTTCTTAGAGGAAACACAACTAGAAGGTGTCTGAGGCAGGATTCAAATTGAGGTCTTCCTAACTCCTGGTTCAGTCCTCTATCCACTGCCCCACCTAATATTCTACAGTTTGCTTAGCCCAGTCCTAAATTAAATTCTTCTTGTCACATGGAAGGGCAAAAAGAGAATGTTGCCTTAGGTGAGAGCTTATACAAGAGAGTTTTGAAGCAAACAAGTAAAAACAAAAGAATTATCAAATTCTAAAGGGCAGTTACTCTACCTTCTATCACCTGCTCCTGATTGATTGGTCAGATTGGGGGACTTTAATTCCTAAGGTCAAGAAAGCCCACATAGAACAAGAGGGGATGGTTTAAGTCAGCATCAAGATAAAAGGAAGGATGAAAGAGGCTAAACAAATTTAGGCTTGCGGTAAGAAGAGAAAACAAAACTTTCTTAATCATTAGAGCTATATACGATGGAAATAGGCGACCTTTAGAGGTTGCAGAGTGGGTCCTGCCTCCCTGAACATCTTCAAGCCAAAAGTTGGATGACCATATTTGGGAATACCATAAAAGGAAATCTTATTCAGGTGAAACTTAATTGAGATGACCATTGAGGTTCCTTCAATCTCTCCTGTTTTGATTCTTATGTTGGGAAACTTTTTCCAGGGCCAACTGGCTGCTAGTAACAGTTTTCAAAGAAAAGGTTGGGCTGGTAAAGAACCCTCCAGATTGCCCAGAATCGAACAGATTGGATGGGGATGGAATCGCTGCCTGATTCCTTCTCCTTTCCTCTTCCCTACCCTTCCCAACCCATGTAGAGTCTGCCGTATTAATAATAACTTATTATCTGTGTGACAGTGCAGTGAAAGGACAATAAAATGGATATTAAAAACACGTGCCAAAGAAGCTTCTTTTACAAAAAAGCTCGTGAGCTTTGAGTGTGGAGTTTTACCATGTGTATTTAGTCCCTTTATATATCCTTCCTCTTACTGCTTCCATTCCACTGTCCCCATTTTTTCCTAAGTTGGTATTTCTGTAAGTTCTCATCAGAATCTAAGATCAACAGATTATCCCATCCAATCCCCTGATCCCATTTTATGGATGATGAAACTGAGACCCAGAGAGGTCAAGTGGGTTTCCAAAGCCACGCTGCTAATTGAAATTCTAGAAAGCTGGAACTTATGTCTTTTAACATTTTTCTAGTTTGATCATGATTCTAGTATGGAATGGTGGATAGGACAGTGGACCCAGATTAAGGAGGGACCTGGTGTCAGAAATAATCCCCTTGGACACTGAGTAGTCACTTAATCCTGTTTGCCTCAGTTTCCTCATCTGTTAAATGAGCTGGAGAAGGAAATGGCAAACCACTCCAGTATCTCTGCCAGGAAACCCCCAAATGAGGTAATTAAGAGTTGGGCATGACTGAAAAACAACTGAACAGCACAATAAACATGTGATATACACACACATATCACACATATGTATGTACATATATGTACACATACACACATAACCTCTTTGGTTTTCAGTTTCCTCATTTGAAAAACGAGGAGATGTGATGGATTGCTTATGTTCCCCTTCAGTTCTGGATCAATGATCATTTGATTCTCCCAGTAATCCATTCTAGCCAAACCAGTCTACTTGCTCTTCCTCATGCCCAGCATTCCATCTTCTACGGCTATCCCTTCACTTTGGTTGTATAGCAGAATGGGTGGAGGAGAGCAAATCACAGGCCATGAAGGCAGCTGACGCAGATGCTGTGGAGTGCTGTGGGAGTATTCTTGGAATTCTTTGACCTGTAAATAAGCCTGTTCATCCTTTGAGCCTTGTGAAGTAGGTACTGCAAGAAGTGTTAGAGGCAACATACAGGGTACTGTTAGGAAGTTCCCATTTTATCTGATGAAAGAGATTCAGTGAGCTAAGGAGTAATGAGCGCGGAGCTGTAATTTGAGCTCTGCCAATCATACTGTTCCTAGTAAATCAAAAAGCATAGCTAGCAATATAGAAATGTTCTGTACAGGAGAAATTCCAGTGAGAATGGTGTGTTAAAAGTTATACAATCTACGTGAATTTTATTTCTCTTTTATTACAAAATATTTTATGTAAATATGTGAATGTATATGCACATATGTATGCATGGGTAGAAACTGGACCTGGTATTTCATTGACATAAGGAAATCCTGGATAAAGAAATGCCCTTTAAGGAATGTGGATGCCTTTTCTGCAATTTACAATCTTAGAGAGTGTACATACACATATATGCACACACAATACATACATACACACATGTCCTTTGATTTCTGCCTTCAGTTTTCACTAGAAACTTTATACATGTAATATATAATATAATCCATTTATATAACACAATCATATATATGTATATTACATATATAAAGTTTCTAATGAAAACTAAAGGCAAGTGTCAAATTAATTATATTAATTATGATATAATTGTAAGTTAATATAATTATATTAATATGTCAATATAATATATAATTAATTATATAATATGTAAAACATACCACATATTTGTATATAATATATATGATATATTTTATATTTGTATATACTATGTGTTATATATTTCACATTTATATATAAATATATAATATTTCCATTTTCCATTATTTTCATATATTTATTATGTTTATAAAGTTTCTAATAAAAAATGAAGACAGGAGTCAGATTAAAAGATTAAGAGTCAGATTGAAATTTCTTGAGAAATAAAGAAAGAGGATCTTTGTAGGATGACACCTCTCAGGTGCGCTAAGTTTCTAGTAGGAGGGTTATCAGTCTGAACTATACTTAGTGATCACTTTTGTCTCTTCAGATCTTTAGCCTTTCTTGATCAGCACCAGAAGTCCAATTACCCTAGGTCCTGCCTTCTAATATTGAAGAGTTATCTTTATCTTTCCCCTAGACACGCTTGAACTTTGTATCTGCAGTCTATTCACCAATGTCAACAGGTTTCCTTTCCTGAGACCCCACTTTTGTAACCCAGCATCCCACCAGAGACTTGGCTCACATATCTTTCTATTTCTCCTGCCCCTCCTGGACCTCTCATTGCCAAAGTGACTTTGACCCTGCTGATTTTCCCATCAGTTAGTCCTTTTCATATGACATTGGTTTCTTTCAAGTTTGGGGACATAGAAATGAGTTTCTACAGGTCAGCATATTCCATTACAACTTAGAAGTAATAAGTTAGCAAAATTTACTAACTGACCTGTTGTGTCCTGGACACTGATTTGGTTGTTTTCTACAGTCAAGGGAGAGGATGGAAATTCAAAGGAAAAAGAATGTCCTGGTTCTCAAGGGATGGACGTTGTTCTCAAGGAATTTGCATTTAAGTTGGCATATGTACATTATGTGCATGTGAAAAAAACCTCTACATTTTAAAAACAACATATGAATGGGGGCAAAGTAATAGACTGGTTTCAAGTCCTACAAGATGGAATTTATAGTCTTCCATATGTGTCACAGTGCCAGAAGGCTCACCTGCCTCCAAAATGTCTATTGCTGTGGTGCCTGAAATTTCCATCATCACACTTAGTTCTCTCTGTTGGGGTAGTTTCCAGAAAGCTCCTGTTAAAAGAACAAAGTGGTATTTGAGAAAGGCAACACAGTTAAGTCAAGCGTATATTAGAATTCATCAGTAGAATAGAGAGCAGGGCCTTAGGGGAATGGGACCCAGGGGAGGTAAGCTTTGATAGTCGAGGGTGGGCCCTTATTTCCTCTTGGATAAAGTGCAAACTCCTCAGCTAAGCACTTAAAACCCTTGCAAAGTGACTCCATCCTGACTTTCCCAAACTTATTTCACATTCTTCTTCTTCATGCACTCTCTGTTTCAGCCAAACTAGCCTATTTGCGGTTTTGCAGACTTGGCGTACCATCTCTGTTTCTGTACTTTTACATACTGAACATGTCCTCTCTCCTCACCTCCACCTCTTATAACAATCATAATAAGTTTGATGTTTATACATGGTGACCCAAAAGCCTTGGGGCAGTTTTAAGGTTTTCCTTTCCTTTCAATTGTTTTTCAGGTGTGTCTGACTCCTTGTTATCCCATTTGGGGTTTTTTTGGCAAAGATACTACAGTGGTTTGCCATCTCCTTCTCCAGCTCATTTTACAGATGAGGAAACTAAGGTAAACAGGGTTAAGTGACTTGCCCAGGGTCATACAGCTAGTAAGTATCTGAGTCCAGATTTGAACACAGGAAGAGGAGTCTCCTTGACTTTAGGCCCAGCACTTTAGACCCTATGCCACCTAGCAATCCTCAAAGTTTCAGTCGGCTCTAAGACTTTTGAGACACTGTAGCACTTTAAGGTTTTTATATGCCATATATATATATATATGTCCATATACATACATACATACATATATATATATATATATCCTCATATGCCTTTTTTATATCCTCAAAATAAGCCTGTGAGGTATGTGTTGTTATTAGTCCCATTTTACAGATGAAGAAACTGATGCTTAAAAAAGTTAACATCTGAAGTGGGATCCTTAGTTTCCAATTCAAGTTACCAATTCAGGTGCCATCTCTTTTAGGAAGTCCTCCCTGATCCCATCTAGTTGTTGGTACTATCTCCAACCTCAAATTTTACTATACTTATTTATCTGTTGGCATGTTATATCCCACAAGTAGAATGTAAGTATCTTGAGGGCAATCATTATTTTTCATTTTGTCCTTGTAGCCCCAGCACCTATCATTGTGGGTTGCACGTAGGTATTTAATAAATATTTGTTGAATTGAATGAAATTGATGGAGGAATTCTAGAAGTGGATAGGCATTGCTTAAAGGAGAACTGGGAAAGTGGGGAGAGAAGAAATATCCAAGATAAGATTTCTATACTTTGCTATTTTTCTGAGTGTATAGGTATGTTTATTACATATACACATATGTAATATATGTACACATATATGCATACAGATAGACATATGAACGTACAATGGGAACTAAATCTAGACGAAAGGCTGAGAAAAGGGTAGGGGCAAATCTGAGGTTAAGAAGATGCAGCTAGGAAGTCTGTGTCTTGGACTAGGTATGTATTAATGTCTGCCAGAGATGCCTCTCTCTAGGACAGACCATGGTTCATCTTTTACTCCTGGGTTCACTGACATATCATTCTGCTCTGCACTGATAACACTAATTTCAGGGGCCAGGCAGGATTTCCTGGGAGATATCTCTTTTCTTATTTGTAGTTTTTCTCTTTGGTTTGGTCATTGGAATGCCTCTTGTCCTTGCTGGGTAATCAAACTTCTGATAGGCTTACTGGGCATTTCCATGCCCTAAAATTTCATGGTGGTTTTTTTCCCCCTTGGGGGTAGGGAGCATTTTAAGTCTTGCAAAGCACACTACAAATATAATATCATTTTTTCCCTCACAACAACCCTGGAAGTATTATTATCTTCATTTTACAGATGAGGAAACTCAGCACAGAGAAGTTAAATGACTTGCTTAGAATCACACAGATGGTGTGACTGAGTTGGATCTGAATCAGTATTTCTTGACTCCAAGACCAACACTCTATCCACTGTGTCTTTAATCACAAGATCATAAACCTGGATGGGACCTTAGAGGTCATCTAGTTTAGCTTCTTCATTTTACAGACAAGGAAAATGAGTCCCCAAAGAAGTTTGAATGAGATATCTTCAAGTTCTGTGTTTCCTTTCCTCCTAGTTCCTACAAAGTTATTTATTGGCCAAACTAATTAGAGGAATAGATAAATACTTTTGCCTGTCTTCACATCACAAGGTGGATGCATATCTAAATATCCATTTTTGTGAGAATGGTAGATGATTATTCGAATGAGAATGTCTTGGCTAGAGCAGAATTTCTGTTTGAAAGGAGTAGTGGAAAATATAGACCTTTAGTCAAATCCTTTGCCAGAAGGCAAAGTAAGATATATTTTCAGTTCATTAGAAACTTGACATCCAAAAAGGAGGTCTGAGGGAGGGGAGAAAGAAATACAGTGTGAGAAGAATAGTAGAAATAGCAATAACAGAAATTGTTTGGAAAGAGCTCTGAGTTCAGTTACTTCTTGGATATTAGTTCTTTAGTGAAAGATGGGGAATCCTTGGTGAGCTTTGATTAAGAGAAACAAGAAAGATTATTTCTTGTCACATAACTTCTAGCCTTGGGGAGGAACTTCTCTATTCCCTACTGGACATCATGAAGACTGAGTCGACCCTTGGCTAGTACAACTGATACTTGACGATGATATGTGTCTCTCATAAAAGCTTCAGCAGAATGGAAAGAACAGGTGGAGAGAAAAAAACATAAACCAAAACATTGAAAAGGGAGTTCCCAACTGCTAACTCAACAAAGCAAAGAAGCAATTCCATGTAGTGTTTGTTAAAGAGTATATTCAGAAAGGGAGTGTCCCTGATAAGGAAAACAGGTCAGTCTGTGTGACATTACCCGGAGTAAATTCTGAACCAAGCAAGTTTTCTTATTGGTTTCAAAATATTGGGGGGGCACTCATGTTGTCAGTGATATCGTGATCCCTGGGAGTCACTGGATTTCAGAGTTGAGGAGGGACATTCTTGATCACAGGATCATAGATTAAACACTGGATCATAGGATCATAGATCTGGGATTGTGTCCCAGATCCTTTGAAGGGACCTCAGTGGCTCTCTAATCTCTTAGATCATCCCCTCCTTCTACAACAAGGAAATTAAGTGACTTGTTCAAAGTCACATAGGTAATAAGTTACAGAGATAGAACTCAATAGAATCCAGGTTTCCTGAATCACATGATTTGTCTTCTAGAAATTTGTTGCCCAACAGTGAAATTTGGCAGGTGAAATACTGGCAAAGGTTTACCTATTTTGTATCACGGAATTTTTTTTTTCACCTTCACTAAGACTTTAGTAAGCATTAGATTAGTAAACATTCATTAATGTGGTCTGATAAAGAGCTTCTTTCTACCTTTTCAGAGCAGATCTAGCCTGATATTTCCTCCAGTCAATCTGACATCTGTGGATGTCCAAAGCTGCCTTGAATTTATGTTCCTTGGCAGTCCTGTTATTTTCACCCTCTATTAATGAAATCTTAGTTTGACTTAAAAGCTGACTGTGATGCTATGCAAATGATCGTTTTCTGAGGGATTCAAATGGTGGCAAGGTCAGATTTCAAAATGGAAGCTAGGCACAGTCAAACCAGACAAAAAGATGTGCATTCTTCATTCAACACCAGGACCAGCATACAAGAAACGTGAAACTAAGTCTATCTCTTCCTTTTAAGCAGAAAGATTTCTTTACTTCAAGAGAGCGACAGAAGGCAGATTTACCAGTTCCAATAATAACCAGTCATCCGAGGTTTCTCCAGTTACCCGAAGCAGAGAAGTAATCAGGACAGCTTGCCAGTTGTGAGACTCTGAGCCATTGTTTCTGTGGACTGATTCAAACTGTCATGCTGTGCTCTGAACAGAACAAGGGGAAGACTGGTTGGGAAGAAAGAACATAACCTGTTACAAATGTAGTGCTGACAGGGGCAGGCCCAAAGGGCCCAGGAAACCTTTTTGCCAGCCCAGTAGAAATGGGAAGAAAACAGAACAGAGAGTTACCTTGCTTTGGGTTCAAATGTTGCAGTCTTGCTTAAAGGCAGGGACGTAGATCAGGTCTCCTGAGCCTCCATCCAATTTTATGTTTCCATGATTCGTAGCAGGCCATGGTTTAACATAAATATCAAGTTTTGTTCTGAGACTTAAAATATATCATGGTTTCCACAAATCAAACGAAACAAAAGGCTGGAGGCTCTTATCTAGAAGACGATTCTAGTGCTTCTCTCATCCCCTAACCACAAATGATGCACAAAATGATCCTTGGTTTTCCCCGGTGCATTGATGATGGACTGCATTTAGAAATGGTGTGGAAATGATAACATTCATAATAATGATGATAACTGCTCATCTATGTAGCATTTTAAGACATGCAAATATACATTCTCATCTGATACCTCACAATAAGGGAGGTGCTATTATTACCTCCATTTTTTAGATGAGGAAACTGAGACTGAGAGGGCTTAGTGACGTGTCTAGGGTCACACAGCTAATAAGTGTCTGAGGTAGGATTTTAAATCAGGTCTTCTTGACTCCAACATTCTGTCCACAAGACCACATATACAGAACAACATCATTGCTAATGAGAAAGCTCTAAATGACCCTTATGAGTCTTTCTACGTCTGTCTGAGGGCAAGGGAAGAGAATCATAGTATGTCAGAATAGAAAGTGACCTTAGATGTCATCTGGATTCAGCTCTTTCATGGTACACATGAGGACACTTAGGATTATGGAGTTGAAATGATTTGCACAAGGTCTTGTGTATAACAAGGGGCACAGCTGGGATGAACACCCATTAGATTGTAAGCTCCTTGAGAGTAGGGACTGTCTTTTGTCTTTTTTTGTATGCCCAGAACTTTGCACAGTGCCCAGCACACAGTAGGCATCTAATAAATGCTTATTGAATGGAATCCAGATCCCCGAGATCCCAGGACAGTATTATCTATGTAAACTATTTTCAGATTCATGTTGTTTTATTTGTATTTTGAAAACACACACATAAAAAGATAAATTATGAAAAGAAGAATAAGAAGCTGCCCCTATCCGCAAGGCATCTGCAGTTTTATTGAAGAGATAAGGCATACAATTAAGAAACATCTTCATGAGTTCTAATCTGACCTCAGATACCTACTAGCTATATGACCCTAGGCTAGTCACTTAACCTTGTTTGCTTCAGTTTCCTCATCTGTAAAATGAGCTGGAGAAGGAAATGCAAAACAACTCCAGTATCTTTGCAAAAACAAAACAAAACTCAAATTTGGGTCACGAAGGGTCAGAAACAACTGAATAGCAACATGTATTATGTGACAGGTTAAGTGCCAAAAGGAATGGTATAGACTTAGTATTTGGGGATTACAGGAGAAGAGACAGGTTAGTGTTGACTAGAATGGTTTTTCCACACTTTATGACTTCATTTGGGGTTTTCATGGCAAAGATACTGGAGTGGTTTGCCCATGGTTATATAGTCACTATGTGTTCCAGGTAGACCTTGAATCCTGATTTTCCTCACTCTAAGGTAGCTTTATTTCCATTGACAGAATTAATTGAGGTTGCCAGGTAATAAGATGGATAACTTGCTGGGCTTGGAATCAGGAAGACCTGAGTTCAAATTTTGTCTCTGACAATACTAGCTGTGTGACCCTGAGTAAGCCACTTAATCTCTGTTTACCTCACATTTTTCAACTGTAAAATGGGGATATTAATAGCACCTGCTGCTCAGGGTTTTTGTGAAGATTAAAGGTTATTTGTAAAGTGCTTAGCACAGTGTCTGGCATATAGTATGTGCTTCGTAAATGTTTGTTTCCTTCTTCCCTTTCATTGTGCCACAGTGCCTCTCATACCTGGGCCTTCAATGTTGTGGGTGCTGAATGGAATTGAAAACATAGGCCAAAAAAATAAATAAATAAAAAAGAGCCCCTGGTTGGTTTAAGTTGCCTTGTTAGATAGTAACTTACTGGTCAGGAGAAAAGGTACCTGTTCCTAGTGAGTCTGCTGGGAAAAGCAGATCAGGCTAAGGGGCAGATTTTATTGACTCAGTGTGACCTTGAGCAAGTCACTTAACCTAGGCTTTACTGTTTCCATTTTAAAAAGAGGGATTAAGATATCTGTTTACTCTATTAGTTCATCTTCTTTACCATGTGTGTGAAAGTACTTGGGAAAGATAAACATGCAAAATATTATGATTTTTGACGGCAAGTGCATTGGTTCCACTCTTTGGGGAAACATTGTGGGGCAAGGAGGATTTCCTATATTAAATAATGGGAAATAATACAGAATTGCATGTAAGGATTCAAAGTGGAAAAAAAAAGGCTAAGAAACAAATAGTCATACAGTATGTGATTCTCTGGGATGTCAATGCCAAGCGCCTATAAACACTGTGGAGTGGTGCCTCCAGTTTATTGGAAGGAGGTGTCTTGATTTAGGGGGCACATTTTTCTCTTTCTTTCAGTTGACTTTCTGGAGGTTAATTAGTGCCTGTAACATTAGCAGGAGTTACGTATATGCATCTAGGGGGAAAACAGAGCCTTTTAAAATTAGTAGTGGGTTCCTCCTGTCCCTAAATAATTACACATTGAAGGTAACCTTGAAGACCTCAAATGAAAAGAGGAGTAATTAGCTGTTCACGGAATTGTTTGTTATGCTGGCATCTGCATTTGAGGCTCTAGACCAAGAATGTTCAACAGAAATTAACATGTACTCCACCCCAGCCCCTTCATCACATGACTGATTATCATTCTTTCAGGATTGTGTATTAAGATGTTTCAGCATGTACATTGTGAAGGCTGGGTGACTTTTGACCACCCTTGTATTTTTTGATGTGCCCAGTTTAGTATGTGAGCTGGCCCAGGTTAGATGGCACTGCCTGCCTTGATGTGAAGATTATTCACTGGTGTACAGCTTCTCTGACCCTGAGTTCCCATTTTAATAGGTCAGAAATTTTTCTTTCTTCCCTTTGAATAAAAAAAAAAACCCAAAAAACAAAAACCTTGTGATGCATATGGAACTGAAGGCTATGTGGGTTCTGTTTGTCTCACCTTGGGGAAAGACATGATTTTAAGATCATAGATTAAAAGCTGGAAGGAGCTTTAGATGTCATCTAGTCCAATATCTCCACTTTACAGATGAGAAAACTGATCCCCACAGAGGTTAAGTGACTTACCAAAAGTGACTATCATAAAGGGAGGGAGTGTGAGAGATTGGATTTGAATCCAGGTTCTTTGACTTCAAATCCAGTTTCCTGGATTCTGAGTGCCATTTCCTTTTTTTTTTTCACTGACTTGGGGTCATGATATTAGTAGAAAAATTATAAAAGAAATTTTATTTTTGTGTCTTGAGTTGAGAGATATGATGATGATTATTGAATTTTTTTTTAATGAGGCAATTGGGGTTAAGTGACCTGCCTAGGGTCACACAGCTAGTGAGTGTTATGTGGCTGAGACAGGATTTGAATTCAGGTTCTCCTAACTCCAGGGCTGGTGCTCTATCCACTGTGTCGACTAGAAGCCCCTTGATTATTGAAATTTTATTGAGTACTTTAAGGATTGTAAAGCACTTTAATGCATGCTCTCATTCGATCCTTACAATGACTCTGTGAAGTAGGTACTATATGTATTATGGTCCCTCTGTGGTCACATAACTAATAAGGTAAGGGTTGTAAACCCAGGTCCTCCTAAACTTCAAGCTTATTTTTGTAATAAATAAATTTTGTATATAAATAAATAAATTTTGTGTTATACCTCATCTTAAGTATACCAGTAATGGAGACAATAGATAAGGTTATCCTATCTTCAGGGCAGTTGGGTGGCACAGTGGATAGAGCTCTGGGCCTGGGGTCAGGAAGACCAGAGTTCAATTCCTGCCATTGCCCCTTACCAGCTGTGTGACCCCGGGCTAGTTACTTTTCCTCTGTCTGCCCCTGTTTCCTCAGCTATGAAATAGGAATAATAATAGCACCTATTTTCTAGGGTTATTGTAAGGAATGGTTGAGGTAATTGTAAAATGCTCAGTGCTTGGCACATAGTAGGTGTAGGAAGGGTAGATCAAGGCTGTGTGGTCATTTAGTAACCTCGTGGGAGGCAGATCAATCAATAAGAATGAATTAAGTGCCTACTATGCATCAAGCACTGTGGTGGGCTCTGGGGATACAAGACCAAAACAGTCCCTGCCCTCAATGAGTTTCGATTTTTTTAGGGAGATGCAACTTTGTATAGAGATGAGTACTATACCTACAAAATAAACACAAAGTAAAGGCGGGGGAAGGGGAGAAGAGTAGTCATTGGCCTAAGACATCATAGCAGCTCAGGTTTACAAAGTGCTCGCCACACAAGAACCCTATAAAAAAGGGAGTATGGTAAGTGGTCTAGCTGAAGAAATGGAGAGCAGAGAGGCTAAAGAATTTGCCTATGGTCACGTGGTGAGTAAAAGTGTCAGAAGTAGGTCTTATACCCAGGTTCCTAGTTCCAAAGTCAGTGTTCTTTCTCCTAGACTATGCTGCCTTTGTTCTGGTCATATCATTGTTGTGGGCTGGCAAAGTATTTATTAGATTTTTCTTTATCGTTCTCCTAATTCTGTAAAGGAGATAGTAGTCATTAAGTTAAGAAACATTTATTAAGTACTTACTATGTGATAGGCACTGTCCTAAGTGCTAGGAATATAAATTATAAAGAGAAAAATACAGTCCCAACCCTCAAGGAGCTTATAGTCTAACAGAGGAAGATAGCACCCAAAAGAAAGTTAAAATGAGGCAAAGTAGCACTGAAGATTTCAGGCAGCATGGTAGAAAAATGCTAGTGTGATGAGTGCAGTTTGGATAGGAATGAAAACCTTGTTGACCTGGGCATCTTCCTTAAGATGGAGGTTTGGAGAAAAATCAGCCA